GAGAGAGAGAGAGAGAGAGAGGCGAGAGAAATAATGATGCTTCCTTGTAAACCGTTAAGGAATGATCGTGACTTTCCTAGGCTTTGTTCAATAAAACAGAATAATATGGGTAAAATAGTCATATCACTTGACCTCGGGGGGGGGGGGGGGGGGGGGGGGGGTGTTCTACCTAATTAATAGTTCAGAATTTGAGTTTTTGACTATGACAAAAAAAAAATATTGGGCCTCATCATATATATTTTCAAAATTAGGGGGTTATCCCACATTTCCCCTAATATTATAACTAACTTGAAAAATCCATTTTATTAAAAGAACACTTTAGAAATTTGAGATATGCACAATCTAATACTCTCTCTTTTATGGTAGTAATAATAACAAAACTCTATATATTCCAAGAATATTCTTTTATTTATTTTTTTAATTTATACCCCTATAACAATGATGGGTGTAAATATGTGATTTTTTTTTATATTAATTAAGGGTTAACTATAATCTATATTGATCTGGGTTGATTTGCCGAGGTCCAAAAGCCCACCATCTACTCTCTTCTCTCTCTTGTGCCCAACCCACTATCCTTCTCTCTCTTGAGCACGCGCCCTAAGACAATAACAATACAACTTGCCACATTTTGGTGTTTCAAATAATCAAATTACAGAATCAACTTATTGAAAATATTAATATTAAACGATACATTTCACTAATAGCTTAAATTTTTGGTTGAGATGATCATTCAACACAACTGCTGAGTTTTTAATTTGGCGAGAGAGAGAGAGAGAGAGAGAGAGAGAGAGAGAGAGAGAGAGAGAGAGAGAGAGAGAGAGAGAGAGAGAGAGAGAGAGAGAGAGAGAGATGGGATGGTTTTTCATTATTTCACATTGAAAAGGTTTGAAAGGTTGGGGCATGTGAGATTCAGAGGGTGAGACAACGCACGTTGATCCATCAAGCGAATCCAAGACAAGGGGGGGCCAAATTGTAGGCCTCTAGAGATATTTGTATATATTTTGTTGAAGATTATACGAGTTAATCTTAGTATTTATATCAAGATGATCATCACCATCTATTGTGGAGATGAAGTTGTATAATACACATGGGTAGGCTCATTCATTTGTAATCATTCAATCATCCAACAATCTAATAATTTAAAAATTGAGAGCAATAAAGTATTCTTTGGCATTTTCCAATATTTGTATTCTTTTATAAACACTTGCACACACTATTGTGCACGTTCATTTTCCTCCCACATCGAACACTGCACAAGGATGACATGCATAAATCGTAATATTCAAATTTATACCAAAATTATACTACCTCTTAAATCCAGAATACTTGCCAATGTAAAAAACTTCAAATACGAACACACCACTTTTGGAAGATTCAACTTTTTACTCCCTTGATAGAAATACATTTCTAATACATTCATTAAGATAACATTAAAAACATTAAAATAGTCTTCATTAAATAATATACAACAATGGTAAGCATATTTAAATTGCCTTAAAAGTAAACGTAGTATAAAATGTTGCCTCCAGTAAGACCAAGAGCTCATTCCACCGTTGTTGAAAGTAATTGATGTGAAGATATTCTTACAGTAAAATTGTTATAGTTCTTATTAAGAGTTATCCAAAAGGTTCATTTTCTGTCCTCCTACATGCAGACAAGAACAACAATTCTAGAGCAAAGTAATACAATACACATTCATATTTCAAAAACTTAAAATTCTAGAAATACACAATTCTACTCTCTCTCGGATCAAAATCCTTGTGCAACTGCCTCCTCCTGATAGCACATTCTCACTATCCATTGGGCAGCAACGCACAATGTGTATGAGTTGAGGATGCCTAGTCTCCACAACCTGTTAACGATGTCATGAAGATCCCTCACATCCATCTCTCGAACAGACAATAGGCCCCTTTGAAGAATACTAAACATATGGTGTATAGCAAGAATGTTAACTGTGTCCTTGACCAAAATTCAATTGCTTGTATAAAGCTGAACTCATTAATCATATCGTAGATTTCATTATTCACTAGTTCGCTTTCTCTTTTGAGATTACCAAGGTTCAGCTCGGCGATCTCAGCTTCCTACGTTTGTATATGTACTCTCATTGCCACCAGCTTCTGGTTGTTCCTTTCGAGTTGGTACTGGGCAATCACACCATGTCTTCGTAGTGCATAAGTAATGATTCGGAGTGTGCTTGACCGTGGTTAAGCTGATCGATATAGTCGTCTAAAGTGACAAGTGTTTTGTGACATATCAGCTCGAGATCCTCAATCTCTGGTTCCAACATCAGTTCATGACCCCTACACAACTACACATAAACCTGCAAAAGTCTGCAGTCTTGGATAAGGCGGTCGAACACAATCAACGACTTAACCTCTGTTCTAACTGCAGCCCCGTTAGTAGCCATTGTTGCACAACAAAACATAAATGCTTATGATACAAGGCATGCAATGATTTTCTAGATGACCAGACCTGATGAGGGACAAAATTAAACAAAAATGCAGTACAAATATGAAGCTTTGCAAAAACATATACAAATGAATTCTCATTCAAGATTTATGGTCAAATTTTAGTTCACATTAGACAAATCAGTAAGTGAAGCCATAAGTTGCATGCAGCAAATCTGAACTTTAACAAAAATAAGCTTTTGTTGCAGTTTTGGCTAAACAAAAATAAACTTTTGTTGCATTGAATCAGTCTTGGAGAAAGACCCAAACCTAGCTTGTCTAGTCTTCTTCTTCGCTTGCTCATCAGTTGGGTCAAGTTCAATGATTCCAAATCTATAAAGCAACCAAAAAATGGGTCAACGAAAAACAGACATTCATTCAACACATTATATTAATAGACATACCTCTTGGCTTTAGATTTCCTCTTGAATACGAGGAACATCTTAACCCACTAAAAATAAGTACATAGAACACTATCAAATAAAGCAAAATGACTCAACGACGTTGTGTTAAGTATTTTTTTAATCGTTTTGCGTGTTCCAATGGGATGGTTCGGAATGGACAGTTGTGATCCAAGCATGTTCATGACATATACAAGTCATGGGAAGACAAATATATTAACTGTTTCACCACTCGGTGTAATCAACAACAATTTTCAGTCGAGGTAATGACAAGAGCTCGTCCAAGTGGAGGTGGAAACAACAAAAACACTGTGAGTTTACGAGACCGAACTTGTACTTGTGAAAAATTGTTGCTAATAAGGATCCCTTGCAGTCATGTCCAATACGTGTACCATGAATGGATGATGTCTGCCTCCATGAATGTGAACAACTGCTACATTGTTGGTCGTTTAGTGAACACTGATGCTGGGAGCTTCCAACCTGTGTTGAGTGAACACTATTGGAAAAATATTGCTTTTGTACTAATTCATGATCCAACACTACTAGGAAATCGAACACGCACTCGAAATGATAATGAGATGGATGTATCTGAAACACGGGCAATGCAACAATTTAGAAGAAGTGAACAACAAAGAAGAAGTCAATAATAGAATTTATGTATTGTATTGTACTTTTTATTTGTTATCTTAGTGTGCCGCACTTAGTATTTTTTGTGTATCGAGTTGGACTTAGTATTTTCTGTCTATCATGTTGGACTTAGTATTTTCTATGTATCGTGTTGGACTTATTATTTTCTAGTTATCGTGTTAAACTTTGTATTTGTTATCCTCTTAATATATTTTTGTATTTTATCTCGGTGTACTCGGTATCTTAGTGTATCTTTGTATTTATTGTGTTTAATATTTTCTTAATTATTATGTATCCTTGTACATGATGGATGTCACATATATCTACAGTCCACGGGACACTTCATTGTTATACCATCAGGTATAACACGTCTCTAGGGCAGATAGTTTGGCAAATGTGGATGATATTGTGCATGAGAGATGCCCCGGTAGGAGGATATGAGACTTATATGGAGTTGATGGTGATGATGACCCACACCTTAGAGAGATGCAATTATTACTGAATACATGGTTCTATGGACTATATCGATGTAGTCATCTCGTAGTAGATTTGCACCTTATCATAGCGAAGAGATGGCGCCCGAAGACATACACATTTCATTTTCGTGCAGGAGAGGCGATAGTGACACTATAGAATGTCGCACAATTATGGGTCTCCATTTTGATGGCTTACATGTTAATTAATGCACAGGATATTTTGTCTTTATTAGAGGAGTGGCAGGCTTATTGTCAGATGTGGTTAACATATACTCATCCAGAGAGGGGATTCAGGGGGTGATGACTCCTTACATCTTATAAGAATGTATGTGGTTACTGATGCCAACACGGAGCAGCTTGTTCAACAGCACACCAGAGGGCTATTGTTCGTTCTACTTAATGGGGGGGTGTATGTGTCCCGACACAAATTCAAATGCAATTCCGATATATATCTTCGACTTTTTGAACACCTTAGTTGAGGTAGTGAAATTCTAGCAAACTAGTAGCGTGAGCTATACTGGGGTTTTACTGTAGAAAATTGTGATACGAGATAACACTGTTGAGTTGGAGAAAAGAAAAATGAATATAGGTGGTGCTCTTACTTTGCTACAAGTAATAGGTTTTTCTATACATTTAAATTTTAAATTAATAGTTTAGTATACTTGCGCTTTGTAATATTTTATGTTTATTAATTGGTGTTGGGCATGGTCGAGGACAATTTTACTTGTTCTAGCAATACTACTAGTAGTAGTAAACGATTCTCCCCTCGCGTTGCATATCCTCATTCTACTTATATATGGTGCACGGTAAACATTTTATGTATTAATATTTATTTATATGCAACTTAATTATTATAATATATTACTTAGCTAAATTTCATAATATATTACAGTTGGATTAACCCCACTAGTCACACTCGATCATCGCGAACAATATACATATTTATCGTACGATACTCGATCGGATGCTCAGGCATTAGGTTCATATAAGTTAACTGCAGTTATGTTAATCTTTGTGCTCTATTTAACAATACATTAATTTTTACTACTAGAAAAATAGCTTTTCATGACGCCTCAGTGACGCCATAATATGACGCCTTATAAATACAGTCACAAAAACAAATCTATTGAGACGCCAAAAGTTAAAACCGCATAACAAGTTGAATTTTATTATTTATTTATTTTATTAATTTCCAAAAAAATAACAATTAAGACGGTTTTATATAAACTGCCACAATAGATTAGTTATATCGTGACCCAAATTGAACCCATTAAATTTATTTTTAAATACATTTTCCCCTTTGCTCTTGGCAGTAGAAAACTTTAACCCCTTTTTTTCTCCCAATCCCGTCTTCTCCTCTCAAAACCTAGACTCACCATTTGAATTCTATTTTTCTCATGTGCTGCGGAATTGATTCTTGACGAAGTATCTTCGTTCGAATCTCAAATACGGTACGCCTAGTTTTTCAGTATTAGGATTTTTTTTTCCTTATAAAAAAATTGGATATGAATTTTTGCTGAATCGTCAAATTGTTCGTCAAACTGTTGCTTGTTCTCTTTCACCCATAGTTATGCACAAGCAAATCGAAGGTATGGAGGAAAATCTGGGAAGAAATTTTTGATTTCGATTCGGTGGAAAGAAGAAAGCTTAAACCTGGTAAACCCTCTTTGTCTCTGTCTCTCTTCTCTCTCTGCCCTTCTTTACGTTTTTCTAAGATATAGAAAAGATTAGAATAATCGGATTGAAAACCAAGATTTTATTGGGGTGCAATTGCAATTGCAATCAAATGATCTTATATTAGCTTTTTGGTTAGCAGATTATTCTGAGGGTTTGATGTTGAACAACTAAAGGTTGATTTTCTGGAGTTCTATATGAAATTTCGAGGGTTTGATCAGTATTTCTATGAAAAGCCTTTTTTTCATTGTTATATGAAATTTTGCCAGAGTCAAAAGATCGTCAATGAGTACTTTGTATGCATACTTATAGCTAATGATGGATAATGTACTTATATTTTAGTAGAGTAACTTATATTTATCTGTATGTTTTCGTATATCAAATCTTGCATCTAGATTTTTAAGTGTTAAAGTTTAATACTACTCTAGTGAAGAATTTATAATTGATTATTTATAGATGAGATGTGCTTGATGTATTTTTATCAACTAAAGCAAATGTGGATTTCGACTACATGAAATGTGTTCCCATGCTTAGCTTTATTAATTTTCCTTTCAAAATAATGTGTTATCAAGTCTCTGATGATCCTATTGTATATGATAGGTACCTTATTGCAAAAGAAACATGAATATTTTGATATCAATTTGGAAAAGCTGCAAAGCTTGAGCCTGCTTGCGAAATCGTAAACTACTTTCTCCTGTTTATGATCTCCTTGTTGGATTATCATCGACTTTCAATTGTAATTTACACTAATTTCTGATTGAGGCAAAGTTTGGTTTATTTATTGTTATAAACACTAATTTCAGGTTGAAGCATTGTATGGATTCGTGACTGAATCCGTCAAAGATAGTGCTTATTGCTGCAAGAATCTATTAAGTCAATCACTACAGGTACTTTTTGTAGATTTTATATGTCTAGGCATGAATTTATGTTGTTATACTTTATGGCCATTTTTATGTGTTTTTAATCGTAAATCTTTTTATGAGATCCTGTTATGCAGCCTTACTCCGTATATCTTATAAGTTGTTCAATTTATGTGCATTTAATTGAAGTTTCTATTAAGTTTTTCGATTATAAAAGGACAATAGTCATATTTTATTTTAACTTTGCAGTAACTGAACTGGAGTGTCTTGTAAGACAGTACGGTTGTACTCTAGAACATGTCAGAGATTTTCTTTCAATCATTGAGTCGCTTCATAAATTTATTCTAGTTACATTACTCTTCACTAATCTCGTATATTATCTAACGACCAGGTCATCAAAAAGGCTCATATAAAAGGTTGCCACGTTTTTATGAAGTGAGTGCTGGAGGGACATTGCAGTACAACTAACATGACAACTCGTTGAAAAGCCAGCCCGTTGAATTAGATGCAACAATTCAATTGACCTACTATTAAAAAGAAGGTTTTTTTGTTTTTTATATTTTAGATTAGACGTGAAATACTTGTAATCCAAATATTTATGTTATTTTGAACCATTGAAATGAATAGCTTAAATGATGAACACATTTTGGTGTATATGTATGAATATTTTTTATTTTTTTGTGTTCCTGTATATATGTTATGTTTATGATGTTGAGAATTTGTGTAATGTATATTAGATTACATGCGATGTACAACAAAAAATTTCAGATCTTAAAATCGAGTCATTATATCTGCTACATTTTTTAGACAATTAAAAGCGTCATTATATCTATATTTCGAGACGCCGTAAAGGGTCATAAAAACAGATTAGTCATGGCCGTTGAAAACAAATAATGTGACGCCTATAACGTCACAAAATACATGTAATCGGGACGGTTGCAGGCGTCGTCATATTGTGGCTGTTGAGACGCTCTCCCGTCACAAAAAGATATTATGACGGCCACCTATGTGACACTTTTGTTGGGCGTCACAATAACCAAAGCGTCACAAAACGTTGCTATAGTGACGATCCAAGGCGTCACTAAAAACTATTTTTCTAGTAGTAATTCATATAAGTTAACTGCAGTTATGTTAATCTTTGTGCTCTATTTAACAATACATTAATTTTTATTTTTATTTCTATTTTTTTGGTGTACATGCATTCCTTATAGTGAATTCGATCACAAGTATATCACTTTGGTTGAGCATCATGAGATAGTGTATCCACAATTTTGGTTGTCGAGTTGTCCTCGACTAATTTACGAGAGACTTGAAATGTATCGTCTGGACATGGTATCACGTTAGTTTGGGAGGATACACCAAATTCTTGCACATCCTATTGATCATGATATTGAGATTCAATTGCATTCTTATGATCGTCGAGGTATTAAGGGGAGAAATTGGGCTCATTTTCACAAATCTATGTTGATAGATATCATCCCGACTCAATTCCTTCGTTGACTATCAATATGTTCATATTACTGGACCTCAGACGAACCCATGATACTATGAGTGGTATGAGAGGAACACACGTCGTTTAATATCAGCGGTTGAAAATCTTGGTGATTTAGGTTTTCAGGTTGGAGACCCGATTTTACTAGATATAATGGTCAATATCTTTCTCAAAACAACCATTACTTGCAATGTTTTTTTTTTCGAATTTTTTTTAACTTGTAATGGTTTTTACTTCAGAGTAATTAACTTATATCCATGAGTCTTGCTGCTAGGACGGTATCTTGAGATGACGATCGGATTTATGATTTGTATCAGGACAATGCTACACATATGTATAGAGTTAGGACTCGACTTCTGCGTAGAGATGTTAGTTCCTCCAACGTACCTCCCATACCTCTTATACCTTCTCTGGCGCGTGATATAAGTACCAGAAGAAGATCCAGTGCTACTGAAAGATCTACTGAATTGGAGGATGACATGAGCCAGACTAGAGATGAGAAATATTATGCATCTATCTCTCGAGTACCTCCATCTAAAGATGTTGCCGGTCCATTTGCTTCTTATACACATTTTTATGAGATATTTTTACTCATGGATGTATGAATGATCTATCTACTTCACATGCATTTATGGATATTTTCTATTAATATTTATAACGTAATTTTTTTTAATATATAGGGGACTCTATAAATATTTAAATAAATGTAGGTTCAATTGAAAGTATAATTTATTTTTGGTAATAAAAGACGAAAAATGAAAGACCCTGCATGCTGCAACCAATCATATAGGTGTATGGGGTAATCCTGCACTGTCGTATAATAGAATATATAAATTTTGCCCCGTAAGGGTGATCTGGTGGTTGGAGCAAGTGTGTCTGTGTTAATTGACCCAGGTTCAAATCATCTTGCCAACAGTCGAACTAGTCATACATGGTTAACTAGTATGGTTTACGTATGGTTTGCAAGCTATTATACGAGAATGTAAGTTTACACAGTACACCTGTATGATTGACTACATGTGCATTGTTTAAAAAATATAATATAAATCTTGTGTACCACATAAATAGCACACACATTATTCTCTAAAAACATTTTTGTCGATATTAAAATCAAACATTAAATTCATTTCCAAAAAAAATAATAAAGAAAATGAAATATTAAGAGCCCGTTTGGCTACCAACTCTTATTAGGAGAGTTGGTACCTAGCCTTACCAATAGGGTAAATGGTCTAGGGTTCGAGTCCCCCCTCCCCTACTTCCCCTTGTAATGACTTGAATTACTCAAAAAAAAAGAGCCCGTTTGGCTAAGGTTATTTAAAACATCTTATAAGCTCCTACATCCGATAAGATGTTTTAGGAGCTGATAAGCTGTTAGATCTTATTTTAAAAATTATTTTTTAAGGTGTTTGGATATGTAACTTATAAGTTAATTTAGTTTTTATAAGTTGTTCAGGTGTTTGGAAATAAAAGGTTTGTTTATCACTATAATGACAAAAAAGTACATGACGCCATTATAACTGTCGAACTAATTCGACTTAAATAATTTTGTTCCTAAACTGTTATTATAATAATATTTAAAAAAATAATTTTTCAAATAAAAATATTAATATAAAGTTATATATTAAACAAACCAAATATTTTTTTATGTATGTTGATATGACATTTGACAAATTTTTAAAATAAAATGAAGTGTAATAAAATATTTTAATAAACAGATTTGTGAAAGTTTTAATTTTTGTCCTATTAATATATTAATATAAAATAAAATGAAGGTTGTAAAAGATTTTTTTTATAGCTAGATAAAAGAAATATAATTTATTATTGAGATAATAAGAATATTCGGGTATTTTTATATATATATAAAATATAAATGGAGAATAATTTTTTTTACAATTATTATAATAATTATATTTTAACTAATTATTAATCTTGATTACAAGAATACGTTGTTTCGATAAAATATAAATGTTATTAGTATTCATGTAATATAATAAAGTACTTGAGGGTAAAAGATTTTTTTTATAGCTAGATAAAAGAAATATAATTTATTATTGAGATAATAAGAATATTCGGGTATTTATATATATATATATATATATATATATATAATATAAATGGAGAATAATTTTTTTACAATTATTATGATAATTATATTTTAACTAATTATTAATCTTGATTACAAGAATACGTTGTTTCGATAAAATATAAATGTTATTAGTATTCATGTAATATAATAAAGTACTTGAGGGTAATTTTGTATTTTGAGTCTTTTAGTAAATAAACAAATAAGATCTTATAGAAAAAAAGTGAGGTGGAAGTACTTTTTTAAAAACATCTTCATAACAGTTTATTTTTGGAAAAAATAAGATCTTTTCTAATTTTTTACCAAACACTTTTTAATAGCTTATAAGCTCTTAAATATCTTATAAAATGTTTTTAGGAACTTATAAGTTTAGCCAAACAAGCTCTAATTTCAGTGCCAATTTTATTGGAATTTTTTAATTAAACAATTGGCGAAGTTTTTGTAGTTTGGGCCTTTCTCCGCCCCGTGCAAAAGAAAAAAAATAAAACCCTAACGTTCGACTTGCTCCCCCCCTCTCTCTCTCTCTCTCTCGGCGAACTCTAGAAATCAAATGGCGACCGCGGAAGAAGGTGGAGCCACCGCTAGTACCTCATCTTACGGTGGAGGAGGAGCGGGAGGAAAGTTCACCAAAAAGTCCTTTCGCAAAGCTGCAACCCCGTACGATCGTCCCCTCCCCGCACCCCGCCGAAATGACAACAACGGTAGCTGGTTGTCGAAGATGGTGGTGGAACCCGCCTCCAAGCTCATCAATTATGGGGCCCACCGCTTGTTCGCGTCCCTTTTCCGCAAACGCCTCCCTCCACCGACCGCTCCTCAGACATCAGGTTATGTATTTTTGTTATAACGAATTTCTCCCTTTTCAGTTATTTTTATGTTTTGAATTTCGGTTTGTAAGTTTCAATTGTCAGCACCGGTTGTATGTGTTCGGCTATTTGTGCCCTATTATGTGCAGAAAATTCAAAACTTTTAACTGGATTCATGTTCTTGGCTGGGTAGCTAGGGTTCGAAAATGTCGCATTGGTCTGCATTTCGCGCAATAATATTATGTAATTTCCTCCAAACCCTTATTGGGATTAGTTACTTTTTGTTAAGAACGGGGTTTCTGGGTTCGGCGCGTGTAATTAAAAAATGTCTATGCTAGATATTTGCCTGCTTGCTACTTGTTGGTTTATGGATTTTCGAGTTACTTGTACACGCAATTTTAAAGTGTGTTCAACCTGAGGCTTGACCGATTCATTTGTGTTATTTTCAGAAGAAAAGATTGTGTTTTTTTCTTCCTTTTTTTTTGGATATCCTTATAAATAGGAGGGCAATAAATATTGCATTTTTCTTTCAGTTATTTTGTTGCCTTTTTAATGTTTACTTTTGCAAGGTCTATGATGTATTTGTCTTGGTCTCGAGGGTATTTTACTGATGAAATTGTGTCTTGTGATGAAGCAGAGATAAATAATGGCCCCAGTGGTGGACTTCCTGAGGCAGTTCCACATGTAAGTTTCATTATATTTATTTCTTTGTTTTCAAGCTTCTCTTTTCTTTCGAGTGTGGGCTCATAGTCAATATGTTAGAGCAATCATGTTCCAGTATGGGGTTATATTAAAAAATACCTTATAAATGGCCATTGCAACACACGTACATCCTACGCACGCACCCAAGGTGATGCTATATTACTATTTTGGCTAAGTCTTAGTGATTAGCTGTGTTATATTGTTATATAAGTTTTGTTTCACTGTCTGTATCATTTATTTATGTACTATGTTTATGAAGTTTGAGAAAGAAAGAGTACTGGTCAGTCAACATATTGCTTATATTGTGTTTAGAAGTATTGTTTCATTTGTCTATGTTCACTTAAAAAGAACTAATTTGGAAGTCAATTTTAGTTAATTGAACCTCTGGGAGTGGTTGTGTGATGCTGGGCAGATATACTGTGCCATTCTAGAAATGCCTTTTGTATTTCGTGTAGAGTTCTTTGTCGTAACCATATTAAACACTTACATAGCCATACCCGTGTTGCATGGGGTTGTGTTGTTGATGTTTGTTTAATTTTCATGATCAGTTAAGAGGTACAGATTAAAAATGAAGACGCCTCTCTTGCTCGTTGAATACTGTTTGTTTTTCTGTTGTCTCGTGTCTCTTTAGTGTCTTCTTTACAATGGATTGGCAGATAAACTTGTACTTGTCAGTAGTAGCTCTCCGCTCGATTATCTGTGCGTATTTGTACTGGTACATTTATCATTTTTATTGAAACTAAGTGCTTCAGTAGGTTGTGTATTTACGTTTTAGAGCTTACAGAGTTCCAGTAATTGCCTATATATAATATCACCTGTCTATGAATAAACACATTGTATATGCATTTACATGTTTGTATAAGGTGAATTTAGTGAACTTATCTGTTACAGCACCACTTGCTGCAATCCAATACTTATGACAATCTAAAAGCTGGTTCTTGTATATGGCAAGATTTGATTAATTTTTTATGTTCTCTTTTCTCGGTGAAGACTCAACAAGGTGCACAAGAGCCTTCAAGAGGTGAATGCAGCCAGCCGATGGATAGTTCCAAGAGCAGTGGAATCTCTGAGCTCGAGCAATTGCTGAAGCAAAAGACCTTCACCAGGTAACATTTTGACATCACAAATTGCCATGAGGTTGTTTTTATGGACCTGTCTGCCAGGATCCTTGTTTTAAAATTTAATATATGCTTAAATATTATGTATACCAATGATTTTGGGTGTCTCTTATTTTTTTTCCTGATCTACTTTCTGGCTGACAACCTTGCAGATGTCTTCGAGTTTTTAGTAGTTTGTTTGAATATTTATACATTGTATTAACTTTCCATTTGCAATTTAATTCTTCGATATCTGTCAATACAGTATTTATATCTCATAAGCAGAGATTTTATTGGCGTTCAATAGCTGATGTAAAACATTGTCACTGAGCAAACGGAATTTTGTTTTGGTTCTTTATGGACATGCTCTGATGTTGTGTTATTGTCCCGTGTTTGTAAATCTTTGTAGCAGTCCAGTGAATCAATTCTAAATAAAGTATTGATTAGTTTTCTAGTATGAATTTCCCAATGAGATGATTTATTATACGAACCTTTCGTGCAGGTCTGAGATTGGTCATCTGACTGAGCTATTGCAATCAAGAGCTGGAGAAGTCTCTTTTAGTGACGGTGGAAAAAGATACGACGAGACAGCAAATGAGTTTGGAAGGCATCAACAATTTGTTAGTAGTCCGATGGAAGGAAACAAGAGTGGTGGGGATCGATCTCATGGAATGATGTCAACTCCTATGTCCAATTCACAAGTAAGATACTCTACTGCACATATGTTCCTCACATGCCCACACACCTCTAGCTCTTACGGTTTTGGTGGGCAGTTGTTACAGTATACTTATGTTCAAACATCAAGGTCAAAGAATCAGTTTGACATCGCGAATAAAATTTGTTCAGGTCCTCGGGGATAGTATTGCATCTCCTGCTGAACTTGCAAAAGCTTTCATGGGCAGTAGACCTTCAAAAGTATCTCCGTCGATGCTGGGGATGCGTAGTCCTGTTAGCAGGGAAGATCCTTTCCTCAGTAGTACTAGGTTTGCATCAAAATCACCCGTCATGTCATTGAGAACAAATACTTCTGCTGGCCGTGGAGCTCCAGATAATGGTTTTATAACTCCAAGATCTCGAGGCAGATCGGCTATTTACAACATGTCACGCCCCTTGAATTCTACGGTTCGTCCAACTTCCACACTAAAGGTTCTTGTTTTGTTATTTGTGTTCACAAAATAAATGTTCGTAAATTCTTGAATTCGTTTTTTCTGAATATCTTGGTCCATTTCAGGGAAACGGAATCAACAGCAATGGTTATGCTGGACTAGCAATGTCCCCAGCGTCTCTTTCTTCAGTGGAGCCTGATGAAAGATTTGGGCCCAAATCAATGGTATGTATGATATGTAATATTTTGTTTTTCGGCCGATCCTTACTTTCCATGTACCATCTTCAGTTATTTTTTTATTTACCCATCTTGTACTTCAGACCTTAAAACGAAGGAGTTCTGTCCTGGATGATGATGTTGGATCTGTCAGTTCCATTCGGAGAATCAGACAGAAATCAAATGCAATAGCACCTAGAATTCCTCATACTTCCGATTCAAAGCAGAAACAACCATTGATTAGTGAGCAGAAACATGTCGGAAAAACTGTTGTGGAGAATGCCGATCAAGGCTTCCCGAGCACAAGTTATGATCCCGTTCCTTCCAGTTCCAGCGAGGTAGCTTCTAGAATATTGCGGCATCTTGAGAAGTTGACGCCAAAGCAAAAATCATCAGACTACAAGTTTGTTGATGTTCGGGAGAAATCAACCTTCAAATTGACTCAAAATATGCTATGCGGACAAGCTCTGAGGAGCATGGAGGATCTGAGTTCCTCGAAGTTGCTGCTCGATCTCCAAGATGACAACAAGCCGGCGAGTAGTTCGAAAGCTACTTTACCTGTTGCTAGTGGTTCTACTTCTCAACAAGGAAAAGTTGAAGAAAATAGCCCTCAAAAGTCTTATACACCAATGAACAATGATTCTGCAGTGACCGTGAAAGCTTCAGGCTTTAACGCAGGGACGTCTAAATCTGTTGTCGAGACAGGTTTATCTGAACCTCCTCAAAAGAAGAGAGCTTTTAGAATGAGCGCAGTCGAGGTAAGATGGATTCTTTTATTTTTCTTAAATATATGTACACTACATCAAATATCATTTGAAGTGCTTAATTCATTTGAAATTATAGTAATTAATTATGTTACGTTTTTGGGATTTTAAGTTTTTATGTATAGATAAGCTTCTCTTTTCTTTTGTGTCCAATTCATGGGATTTACGCCTATTTATTCTCATGGATGATCTAGGATTTCTTGGACTTTGATGATGACATTGAATGTAACGGGCTTGCATCTCAACCATCCGTTGAGGGGAGAGGACCAGTGGGTTCTCATACTACGGACAACATCTCACCCGTTGATAAGCCCAAATTTGTACGAACCACAATTTCGCCAGAAGTCAAGTTACCTTCAGGTCATGTATCGAGTGAAACAAGTGACCGCAGTCCTGGTACTTTCATGGTGGGAGAAGGAAGTAGTAGCGTGCCTTTGTCCAATTCAGAAGCAGCAACTACAGCTGTCCAGTCTGCTGTTTTTCCTGTATCAGTTGCTGCATTTGACAAACCTAAAGAAACAAATAGCCCCCCTCCCTTGTTCAGCTTTAGCTCTAAAGCGGCTGACAAGTTTCTCTTTTCTTCTGAATCAAGCAGCAGAACGCCAGAAGCCAAACCAGAAAGCCCCAACAGGTTAGTTATTGCATGTGAATTATTATCTACGAACCGCCATTTTGTATCAATAGTTACGAGGAATTTGATCATTGTAGTGTCCGGAAAATTTCTTCTCTGTGATCCTGCTTTGATTGTTTTGATATTTATCTCTTTGCTGTGCAGTTCTTGTTTCGGACCTCTCGTCGGAACTCGAACTATCTTTGCTCTTTGCATGCTTGGGCTTGGAATTGGATATCCGAAATAAGAATTTAACCTAGACTTGTGTTTATGAAAATAAAATTGCAAAATTTAATTTCTTGCAAAATGTTTTTAACCAATAACTAGGAAAACAATGTTATTACCAAACTGAGTCATATATTAATGTTAAGGTTTTTATTTTCTAATCAAAATATATTAGGTTATTTGTATTAATTTTGGTAAACTGTCTGTGCAGCATGGTCAATGTTCCCGTTCCAAGTGGCGCTCCAATGAAAAGTCCCGACATAGAGAAGGGCAGTCAGTTGAATCCTCCGAAGACAGATGACAGAAACGCTGAGACAGTTCCTTCTGCTGCATCAAATGGGCCACTTCATTCGAGCCCTCTTGCTGGGTCATTCACTACAGCTTCTTTCAAAGAAACAAACGAAAAATCAACTGCTGCCGCCCCTCTTCTCTTTACTCCTTCGACCAGTATCGACAACTTTGTCCCTAGTGGTACCGGCACCAGCAGCTCAACTGCTTCTAGCGGCAGCATTTTTGGATTGGCTGCACCTTCAAATGTAACTGGATCTGTATTCAAATTTGGAGCATCTACAGAACCATCCACTGCAGTTTCGGCAGCAACAACTACGATTGTTCCACTCGGAGGAGATTCGAAAACCAACGCTGATACAGATCCGAGTACTGGCAGTTCAAGTAGCGCACTTTCCAACGTTGTACCTTTTGGGTCCACGAGCTCGGTACACGGCATGTTTGGACTCAGTTCTTCAGTTAGTCATTCAACTGCAAATAACAATCTTCAGGGTTCACTGTTCGGTAATGCCAGTAAACCTTTCGTTTCTGGCCTTGAAACTGCTTCGCAAGGCACATCTATCCAGTCCGTTGCACCTGCTTCATCACCATCATTCAGTATGAACAACACTGCTCCCGTTTCTTTTGGTTTTAGTTCTTCTTCAGCTTCCTCTACAGTTACTACCGGTGCAGTTATCCCTAGTAATGCTGTTAGCTCGAGCAGTAATGCTGCTCCTAGCACGTTTAGCTTTGGTTTCAGTTCTTCCTCTTCTTCAACCAATGCAGTTGGGTTATCGACCGGTGGTGGGGTATTCAGTTTTGGTGCTGGTTCATCAGTTTCTTCTGCTCCTGTAGTCAACACCGCTAGCTCTTTCAGCAGCGGCACCACCACCTCTGGTGTATTTAGTTTTGGTGCAAATTCTTCGTCTTCCTCAGCAATCATCTCAGCTAGCAGCAGTAGTGCCCCTTCTACTAATGCCTTTGGTTCGACTTGGCAAAACCCAAAGCCTTCTGTTTTCGGTTCCACAATCACCTCTGCACCACCATCTACTGGATTTGCCTTCGGTTCCACAGTTACCTCTGCACCACCATCTACTGGATTTGCCTTCGGTTCCACAGTTACCTCTGCACCACCATCTACTGGATTTGCCTTCGGTTCCACAACCACCTCTGCACCACCATCTACTGGATTTGCCTTCGGTTCATCTTCCACCACTTCTGCCCCGACAAATGTCGCACCTGGTTTTTCATTTAATACACCCTCTCCTTCGGTCTTACCTGTGTTTGGTAATGCCCCGTCTGGTTTTGGTGCTTCTCCAGTCAATAATAATGATCAGATGAGTGCTGAAGACAGTATGGCTGAGGACACAGTGCAGTCAACCGCACCCTCTGTTCCGGCATTTGGTCAAACGTTTGGTCAAACACCCGTTTCTCCTTCTCCGACTGGCTTTATGTTTGGATCAACACCTCCATCGCAAGGCGGCAATAATAATCCTTTCCCATTTGGTGCCCAGCAACAGAATAATCAAGTTGCACCTCAAAACCCATCTCCGTTTCAGGCATCGAACAGTCTGGAATTCAATGCCGGAGGCAGCTTCTCGTTGGGCAGTGGTGCAGGAGATAAGGCGGGGCGGAAGTTTGTGAAAATTGGTCGGAGTAAGAATCGAAAGAAGTGAAGGCATTTGAGTTTTTGTATCTCTGTTGTATATTTGACATTTGATGGATCGGCGGATTCTGATGGCGGAAAAGGGCAGTCTTTGTCTCTTGGTTTTCTGTTGTAATGTTTTGTTTCTTGTAGCAAAGGCAATTTTTGAAGGTGTTGATGATGAGTTGGTGGGGGGCAATTATGCTCTCTGTAATTCAACTTTAATATGTATTTGTTGTGTAACAAAAATGATATCTTTCTGAAACCTCATTGGCTAAGTAGTAAGTCTTTGTTATACCATTTTTCCTGCATTGTTGAATTAACATAAGTGGTACACATGGATTACTTCTTGAACAGGTTTATACTATGTTACACCGGATGAAATATATCGGGTAGATCTTTACTATTCATATACACATAAACATGCACACATCCACATTGGTGTGTGTAGATCAATAAAGTGTTATATGTGATGTATGCTGATTCAAAGACGAGAATTGAGACTTGAATCGTTGAAGTCTTAAACATAAATCGCGCAAAAAGGAAAATCAAGAACGCCGAGATCCCAAAATTTCTTGACGCGCAACAAACATTAAATTTCTTGAGCATGGCATTAAGTTCAAAACATTAAATCCCAAAATAATACATTCAAACCGTTTTACATACGAACAAAAATAGATCAGAAGACGGCAAGATCGCCACCTTTTTTTTTTCTTCACGCGCAACAAACAAGAATAAATCTCAATCGCTCCTACAAGAACATATCATACGAAGGAGAGACAAGGCTCTCTACAAAGACGCATCCATCATTAACCATGGCCGGAACTCCATCAACAATCATGTCTCTAAAAGTCTCGTCTTTCGGATTGCAGATAGCCAATCTTCCCTCGTCGGTCATCCACACAACTTCCTCATCCCCAATATAACACAAAGGGTTTAAAATCCCGTAATCGTAACCACAATCAATAGTGCATTTGGTCCAAGAATCTGCCAACCCATACTCTTTCATAATCCAAACATCGGTACGCATATCCATTCGATCAACAATCATACAAAGACAACCACCGAAAATCACAAGTATACTGAACTCAAAACTGTGTTTTTTTAAATCGTTGGGAGCAGGAATTTTGGTAAACACCTCATTAACCAAATCGAAAGCAGCGATTACGGACGCATGATCTGATTCTCTACTACCGGCCAACCAATGAACAGCTCCGTTCAGATAAGCCCCAGGCGGAGTTACAGGGGCAGAATGGTCATAAGGAGAACTCTCAACCCTTTTCCAAACACCCCTTCTCACGCAATACACATCTACAAACGTATCGACGCAATCGGGCTCATAATCAGTGTCACTATCATAGTAAGAAAGCGCGACAACCTTATAATCATCGATATAACTATCATACCCGAATCCATGCATGGAAGAGCTATATCCACCCTTCAAAGCTAGAGGCGAATTTGGTAATTTTGCCACGTGCCGAGTAGTGGGGTTCACCAAAAACTTGTCATTTTCCTCATTTACCAACAAAACCAAGCCGTCGCAAGAACCGACAACCTTCAATGTATAACCATCTATTCGGTCGAGCTTTCTCGAAACGGCGTCGTGTTTGACGTCGGCGATGGTTTGGATTGAGTTGGATAGGGTGATGAGGAGGAGGTTTTGTTGGTTTAGGATTTTGTTAGTGAGGTGGGATTTGATGAACTGCGTGCTGGAGAGAAAAGTACGCCATGGTTTTGATAAGCACCTGCATTTGCCCACCGATTTTGATGGTAGACGTGAGAATATGTCGATTAAGATGTCATCGGGAAGTTCGGGAATCGCCATTTCTGATTTCTGATTTACCAAGGGTTTTGAATGGAGAACTATACATTTATTGACGAATTAAAAGTTAAATGGTGCATGGCTTCTCCCCTATATCTCACGCGCTAATCGTCCGTTTAGCTCCCAACCTTTCACCTTTTTTTCTTTCTTTCTTTTTTTTTTTTGTTTTTTTTTTTGTTTTTTTTTTTTTGTTTTGTTTTGTTTCATTTATTTGATTTGATTTTATTGTAATTTTTATTTTTATATATTTGTTTATTATAATCCTATTATACACTTCTTAAACTAGTCTTGTACTTATTTAAATTGAACTGCCGTTAATCGATCGTTCCTCATCTTTATGCTACTCTCCTTCGTTCTATAACACACAATACTTGCCTCCCCTAATAATCCGGCCACCCTTTCGCCGCCGACTAACTCGTGACCTTCTCCTCGCTTAAAGCCGCCGACGACCACCGATTGAAGATCCAGCTCCAGTGTTGCCGGCGGATCATTCGCTTAAAGGTGTACTAGGGTTTCCTTCGCTCCTCTATTTTCTCTCCATCGCCGAATGTTTGAATTATTTTTTTTCGTGCAAAAATTCTGGCCTTTCGCCGTCTACGACCGTAAGGTGAAGCAAATGCGGAATGAGTGCCGCGAACAAGGAGAGGTAGGCTGCCAAGGAAGAGTAGAATAAGGTGGGGACGATTGAAAAACGTGTTCCTAAGGAAGAATTCCGCCAAATACTGCTATGGTGGGGTGTTGACAGTACAATTACAGTGAGCGACAATATTATTATTTTTTTTTGGTTTTTTTTGTTTGATATGTTAGCAAGTCAACGTAATTATATTACTGCCGTTAACGGTAAAATAACTGTAAACACAATAATATTACTGTCAACCACATCATTATTATTTTTTTTTTGGGTTTTTTGTTTTGTTTGAGTTGTTGAAGGATTAACGTAATAATATTACTGTCTACTATTGTAATATTACGATAAATACAATAATATTACTGTGGTCGACGGTAATATTACTGTTGTTACCGTAATATTAATTTGGATGACAATAATATTGCAGTCAACCACATCAATATTAATTCTTTTGACTTTTTATTATGTTTACCTTTGTTAAACGGTCAACATATTAATATTACTCCATTACACAATAATAATGACTTTTGTTGTGTTATACTTACTGTATTATAGTTAATATTAATGTGTTTAACAAGTAATATAGTTAATATTAATACTGTCAACCACAACAATATTGGTCTTTAAACGTGACAAAAAGATGTTAAAGAAACATAAAATAAAAAAAATTCAACGCCGTTGGAGACCGGCGTTCACCGCCGTCAAAGGAGGCAGAAGCAGAAAAAAAATCGAGAAAGTCAACGCCGGTGACCGGCAGTCAACGCCAGAAAACCGACAGAAAAATCAGGAAAAAAAAAAGTCAACGCTGGAGACTGGCGTGATGGGCGAAATTATGCTCAAAATTGAGTTTTGAGTCAAAATTGAATAATTTATGAAATTTGGGGTCAAATTGAGGTTAAATTAAATTAAATGATGAAATTATAGCGTATTAAAATGTGAGGGGATATTTTAGTCTTTTACACACCTCTGGACAATGTGTGGATTTTTTTGTAAAATATTTTTTGTCCGGATCTCTTTATGAATACGGTGGTGTTTGCAAATGCTTTAAAAAATAGATTATGAGTTTTTTTCTGCACATAATCTGTTTTTAAGTGTTTGCAAAATAAGCTTTTGTTTTTGCTTCTCTTAAAATAAACTGCTTTAAGCTATAATTTTAAAAACACCCATGTACCTGTTTTTTCTATTTTAGTTGATTTTTGCTAATTTGCAAACACCCCCAACTTTTAGAAATAATCACTTAATTTTAACTTAACTCACAATCACCAACTTTTACTTTTGAATAAGCTTTTGCAAACACCACCTAAGTATTACTTAATGAACTTATTTGTAATATGACCTTGTAAATATTTCATAATATCTAAAAGTACTTAATGTTATTTATATAGAAATAAGGCTAACGTTAAATAAACAAGGGGTAATATGCTAGAAGTCCCTCGTACGAAACCTAATTTGAACTAAATGACAAATCTAAATTCAATTTTTTAATTAAATCCTTAGATTGAAATAATATATGACCCACATCCTTAATTTTTTTTAATCCCTATCTTGCCCTTACACCCTAAATCTTATAACCCACATATTCACGTTTCTTCTCAGATCTATTTTTCCTCTTTATTCTTCTTCTCTCTCGTTCTTTCTGTCTCGTTCTCTCTCTCTCTCTCTCTCTCGCTTTCTCTGTCTCGCTCTCTCTTTTATTTCTCTCAATCTCAAGATATCTCTCTCGCCACACTCATTTCCATGATTTGAGAGGGGATGGTGGCTGTGATGATGAAATCGACATGGTGTTGGAGGCAGTGGCACGGGGGGAGGGATGGTGATGGCGACGGTGACGGCGGCTCTAGGGGCAGCGGCAGCAGTGAGCGGCGTTGGTCATGAGGGCGGCGACGGGGGGCGGCGCTCAGCGGCTGGGGGATTGTGTAGGTGGTGCTCGACGTTGTGGGGGTAATGGCAGCGTGGGTGGGCCGGGGTTTCGTGGCATCTTTAGCGGCGTGGTGATGTCGGCGTCACAAATCTAGGGTTTGGTGGAGGAGATCTACGATTTGGTGGGGCAGATCTAAGGGTGATGGTTATGGTGGATGTGGTCTTTGAAGATGGTGGTGTGAGGTTAGATCGATGGTGGGAGGCAATTGCATCAATCTAGGGTTTTTTGACGACGCTAGGGTTTTGGTTGACGGCTAGGGTTGGTGAATAATAATTGGCGGCAGCTGTGATTTCTTTGCTGCTAGGGTTTGCCGATGGGTGGGATTGTGTTTTGATGCTAGGGTTTGGAATTTTACGCCGTAGTAAACCATAGTATACCATAGGTCCGTAGTAAACCATAGTATACCGTAGGTCCGTAGTAAACCATAGTACACCGTAGTAAACTATAGTTTACCGTAAACCATAGTACATCGTAGTATATCATAGTACACCAAAGTCTACTACAATATTATTAACAACATATAAAAATAAAAAAAATGTAAATTTAATTAAAAAAATGTTTTTTTTTTGGTAATTTCTATATTATAAAGAAAAAAAGGATTTTGTTTTGTTTTATAATAGTGTAAAAATGATTAAATGAAGAAAGAGAAAACAAAACAAAAAAAAAAGGGAAAACGTGTTTTTTGTAAAAAAACATTAAAATATTAGATGGAAAAATGAAAATATTACAAGCTAAAAAGATGATAAATGCAATTTAAATTTTAATTAATGCATATTTCGAATTTGTTAGTGGGGGACATTTTTGGAATGAATTTTACAAAGGATGTGTAGCAAAGATTTAAGCCCTGTTTGATTGTGCTTAATGGACCTCTTAATGAACCTTATGCTGATTCGGTCAGCAGATTTGTCATTAAGTGTATTTGATTGAGATCTCTGAATCACAAAATTTTGCACTTACCGATTCAGACGGGAAATTGAATCTTGTTCATTCAGTGCTGCGGTGAATCAATTTGGCAAATTTCTCCATATATAAAATAATATTTTAACATTGACTCTATGCATTAAAATACTACCAACTTCTCCCAATTTTTTTTTTTAAATATAACTATTGGATTTTGAGTTTAGTGTCAATTACTTTATTATATACTGGCCATAATTTTTCTTTTACTATTGTTCTCTCGTTTCAGGACTTTATTTATATTATGTTTTATTATACTTTTTCTTTTTATTTGTAGTACTTAGTAAATAAATTTGTCTATGTGACAATGTAGTAAAGTTACATTATTTAAATATAATAAATTTTCAATTATCAAATAATTTTAATTTTGTTTTTCAAATTTATATTATAACATATGTAAAATACTTGAAACTTAATATACGTAAAGGTGTTTATTCACCACATATCATATTTTTCTAGTTAAGTTAATCATGAAAAATACTTACAGTTATACATAGGGGTGCAAGTTGGAACAAATTTTCCAATTTCCGCCAGTTTCGATCCGAAAAGTTCCGATTTTGGAACAACTTTTTTCATTCCGACTTCAGAAATTCCGATTTCCGAAATTTTCCGATTTTTTTGGATTGGAATTGGAATTATATAAAATAAATTTGGAATTTCCAATTTTCGATCGGATTTAATTCCGAAATTAATTCCCATTTTTTTCCAAAAAATACACCTATAAATAGTATATATTATATAATACTTATTTTCCGAAAAATACACCTATAAGTTTTGTTGTTAGACATAATGAATTGTTGTTAGAAGTTGTATTGGATATTATGATGTGTTTATTTTTATTTATTTTTTGAACTGAAATTTAGTAGTTATTAGTTTTACTTTTATCAACGTGGATGCTCTTATTTTCGAAAAAATATGAACAGTTTAGAAAATTTCGGCTAACTTTTGAAATTTTAAAACTTATGTGATTTCCGATTTTTTTCCGAAATTCCGAAATTTTCGGGCCTTTTGGAATTGGAATGAATTTTTAGATTCCGAAAATTTTGGAATTGGAATTGGAATTGATTTTGTACTTCCGTTTTTTTTTTGGAAATTTTCCGAAAAGTCTAATTCCGATCCGATCCATCCGACTTTCACCCCTAGTTATACATATACATGGCTCATAATTTAATTGACAATATTTTAGTTTTCTACTAAGGCTATAACGGTAAAATTACATTATTCAGACACTATTAATATTCAACTATCAAATGAACTTAATGGTTCAGCATTTAGTATTCTGACATAACTCCTAATTATTCAGATGTGTATTCAGCATTCAGCATTCAGCATTCAGTGCTTAATCTTATCAAACGAGACCTTAGTTAAGCTTGTCATTTAGTTCTAATAAGTTTTCTCACTAGGCACCTATATCTTAAGGCCCCAATAAACAAATGCAACTCACAACACGATTAAATACTATAAACAATTAAGATAAGATATCATAATTTTAAAATA